ACGGTAATTACCGTATTTTGCAACTAACACATACCGAATATGCACTTACATACACCAAAATGTAGAAATACTGTATTTGCATATACTAGATGAATAGATACTGGTTGGACAACTACCAAACCGAATGTTAGCAAATTAATTAATTTTTCTTCAGATTTTTATTTCTGACATATAGATATCTCAATTTTCTCAACTTGGGTGATTGTTACGTGGGCATCAACTTCTTTATTAGTAGTGGTAGCAACCTGGCCAACATATTCAAGTAGGGTCAATTACATAGGAATTGTAGTGCTTAAATAAAATATAATTAAAGAAATGAAAAGAAAGGTTTTTAGGTATGAGGGTTATCTATTTCAAGAAAATAGGTTGTGCGTTCCTAATTGTTCAATGCGAGAGTTATTGGTGAGAGAAGCACATAGTGGTGGACTGATGGGACATTTTGGGGTACAAAAAACTTTGGAGATGTTAGTGGAGCATTTCTATTGGCCTAAGATGAAAGTAGATGCTGGGAGAATTTGTAGTCGATGCATAACATGTAAAAAGGCTAAGTCTAAAGTTTTACCTCAAGGATTATATACACCACTGCCTGTACCTAGTGAACATTGGGTTGAATTTCTATGGATTTTGTTTTCGATTTACCTAGGACTAAGAAATAACGGGATTCTACTTTTGTGGTAGTAGATAGGTTTATTAAAAGGCCCACTTTATACCATGTCACAAAACTAACGATGCCACACATATAACTGACTTGTTCTTTAAAGAGGTTGTGCATTTGCATGGGGTTCCTAAGAGCATAGTATCTGACAGGGATGTGAAATTTTTGAGTCATTTTTGGAGAGTGTTGTGGGGTAAGTTAGGAACAAAGCTGTTATTTTCAACAACTTGTCACCCACAAACCGTGGGCAAACTGAGGCAGTCAATAGGACCATGATTCAACTTTTGTGCACACTGATCAATAGCCTTTGCAATGCAAATTTTATCAGACCCTTTGATCCTTGTATAGTTACCAATTATGGCTTGTCATTATCATGTTTGAATAGGTTGTAATGATACCAGTTATGTTTTGAAATTCTGTGATGCGATTGGGTAAGCTTCTACCATGATCTCACTACGTATTTATCGATTTCTCTAACACAGATATGCTAGAGAAGACACACATTATTTGTTGTACATCTATGACGTGATGAGGATGATGTTGCTCACATCATCTGCAAAATCTGAAAGTTGTGATCCTCCTCTTTTAGAGGTAACTCTCTCTTTTTCTTGAATTGAGTGAATTTGCAGTAGATTTTATAAAAATTAAATTTATCATTTATTACAAAAACTCAACCCGATTTCATAGCTCAGTATTTATGCATGGAAATCTAAATATTTGAATTTAAGCATGCGGAAGAAAAGTCTAAAAAATAATTAAAGTTGTATACTGAGGTAGAACCGTTGACAAATTTCTTTAAACTGAAAGATTTAACCTTTTAGACCTCAAGGTCCTTCAGAGTTGCCTTTTAAGATTTATAAAAAGGAAAATTGAAATGGTTGACATTTTTTATTTTATTATTATTATTTTTTTAATCAGACTTGAGCCTTGAGGAACTTTTATCTTTCAAACCGATAGATTCTATTTTTCACGGCCAATTCCTATACCCATGAGTTCATCTGTGTTGATGATAGTCAAATTCAACTAAGGGATCTTTTACAATTTAATCATTCGTATAGTGAAAGCAATGTTAGTACAGACATTTAAGTTCCAAATTATAGTGGCAAATTTTTTATGATTTTTCTTATTGTTCACTATGATTTTGACGTTGACTTGTACACTTCAATGTGATTCTGCATTTATGAATTCCTCTTGGTATTGTTGCACAACCACTAAATTTCATCTTCGGCTATCTTTCATAGCTCTTTTTTTTTTTACAAGTTTTTACTCGTGAGCTGAGCTATTACAACAAGCTTATAAATGATCAGGTAGCACTACGCACTTCAATTTTTTTTGACATTTCTACGAGCTAGACACTCAAACAAAACCTTTGGTTATGGAGGAAGCTGATGTGATTATTTTGCCAAATTTCATATCATTTGATTATTTAACTTTTTAGTTTTCGCATCAATATTAATTGCATAGATTATGGGGGTGAAGAAGATGACTATAGGTGGATACAGAGAAATAGGCTTGTACATTTCTAAATAGTGTATGTTGTGCTTCTTATGTTCGGCAGCTACTACCTATTTCCCTTACATAGTATTGAGACGGACTTTAAATTGCATTCAATATTCATAACTTGGCTGTCTCGTTGACTTCAAATTTAGGTGCCTATTCTGAATTTTGCTTTCAGAGTAATAGAGTTAGAGCTATACTTATTCAGATAACTGAAATTTGTTTAATTTTCATTCTTTGTTCGACTTCTTAAGCGTTAGTAGGGTTGCTGGAAAAGTATTAATACGATATATTTTGGGTAGACTTAAACTCCCACATAAATAGTCCTATGTGAATGCTTCCTTCTCTGTCCGACTAAAAAGAAATGAATAACTGATAAAAAGAACTAAACTGTTCTTTTACCATCTTTCAGCCTACTAAGACATCATTTTTCCCCCTGTTTTGGCTTATTGAACGTAGAGATACGCCAATATTCACATTGCCTATTGTGATTGCAAAATCTTGTTGCCTTAGATTTTCCAATGTATGAAGTCATAAGTGAATAACTTGATGAAAAAGGATTCATGTAGCCAACTTCATATTTGTTGGGTTGAGGCTTAGTTTTTTGGTTTCCTCTTTAACAGTTGCAGTCTTTCCAATGTGGTTTCTTTTACAGGTGTATAAATGCAGTTATGATATATGCATGCGGCTGTATGAAAAAGAGCTTTTGACAGATAGTTCATACCTTTACATTAAAAGGTGTGATTTCTACTTGGCAATGTGTGATGATCTTTAAATTGCATGAACTGAGATATATATGCTATCAACATTTATTTCAATTTAGATTGGATGTTTTTATATCTGCTACATCTCTTAGTTCATCTTTAAAATTGTCATGCATGTTGCAGGGTGCTAGCCTCAATGCTCAGCAACTAGCAGTTGTTTCTGTAAGTTGCTCATCCAGTGCTCTGCTTGTTTACTAATATATTTCTGAAACACTTTTTCCTACCTTCTATACTTCTCGAATATGCTACTTTCGCATTTGTTCTAAGCTCTTCTGGGTAAGCATATGGAGATTACTAGTAATCAGTGTTGCCTCAGTAATTTGTTTCTCATGATTTGCATTTTTCTCTGTAATTCCTACCTATTACTCAAATAGATTTTGTCTAGTAACTATTGTATTGCTTTTAGGGGCTCTGTGAATGGAGGGATGTTGTTTCTCGTGCAGAAGATGAGAGTGCTGGCTATGTATTGCCGAATAGGACACTTATTGAAATTGGTACTTACTAGCCTGTTCAAATTTCAAATAGCTTGACACTGTTTATTTGCTTGAATGTTTTATGCATAATATATGACTCATGGGTTCTTTTCACTCTTTCTCCTCACCCCTTCTCTCTTTCCCCTTTATCTTTGATGGTAAAAAGCTAAACAGATGCCTCTCACTGCAATCAAATTGCGTCTGTTGTTGTGCGAAATCTTGGTTCTGTTGTTAGCATAATAAGACACTCTATTCAAAATGCCCACGCATTTGAAGAGGCTGCTAAATATCTTCAAGAAAGGCGCTTGGAAACAGTAAGTTTTCAATGGATGAATTTTCCAACTTACCTACTTTTATGCTCCATGGTCAGCTCATTTCTTCTTCAATATCAGCTATTCCTGCTTGGAAAAGCAAATATTATTGTCCTGTTATGGTTGTTGATCAGTAAATAAGCTTTTTATTGTATATATTCTGGCCTGGATCATGATCAATGCCATTGGTAATCAAAATTCTTTGATTGTTAACAATGCTTAAAGATGTGTAATTGGGTATTAAGGCGTTCTATAAACATGAGGTGAGGCGTAAGCCCCATCATAAATCAAAAATGGTACAAAGATTTTTAAAATACAAAACAAGCTCATAATAAATCATTAAAAATCTTCAAAATTCATAATAAAACAAAATAAAGTGGGCAAACTAACAAAAGTAAAATTAACAAAAAAGAAACTCTTTTAGTTGGTGGGCGGAGTGGCTATGGGTCTATGAGGGACACAATTTTTTTTATTTTTTAGCTGGCATTGGCCTGTTTCCAAATATGTCGGAATTTATATGGTATGTTCTCTTACACCAAAAGCAAAGTAAATAAGTCTAGAGAATTGAGGAGCGCATGCCACATGAGGCTTGAGGCTGTGTTGTGAGGTGTGGCTCACACAATTGAGGCATGCTTTTCCAAAAAACTACCTCACAATCAGTGCCAATTTATATTCACCTCTATTTGTGGCTTTGAAGGGCTCCTCCCTTCTTCAAACTGAGCCCTTGTTGAGCTACTGTTTATGAATTGTTTATAGTCATTCAAATCGCTTCTTATCCACATGTTTGGTGGGATCTATAAGTATTACTCTCTTATCAACCTCTCATATCTTTCTATTTATAATTTAAACTGTTTATAAATGTTATATTTTATAGGGTTTTCAAATTGTATGGCTTCGGAATATTGTGAGCCTCTAGTTGGTGATATGGAACGGGATTTTGGTGTTTAAAAACTAGGGTTTTAGCTTTTGATTTGTTTGTTTTAAATTCTTGAAGTATAGTCGGGTAGAATATAATAATTTTTAGTACTTGTGGAAGTCGCACCATAGCAGAATCATCAAAGCAAGTATATTTTCTAGTGGATCTTTTACAAACTCTCTCTTTTCAAACTGAGAATTCAGTACAAAAATCAAGAATAGGTCCGTGAGGTCCTTAATCTTGTTTTCCAATTTCCTAGCTTTGCTTGAGTTCTTTTGGTTAAAGATTTGAGCGGACTGCAGTGCACGCCTTACCGATAAGTTGAATAAAGTATAGCTCCATGGATGATCATTTTCATTTGCTCCTTTAGTAGTTAGTACCAATATGTGGTCTATTTTTATTCTTTTCACTCACTTTTTTTTAACCTTAATCTGTGTTATTGCATTTTTGATGAAAATACGATTATCTTATACAGGCAATTGAAAAGAACACTTTGGTTACTGAAGAATCTGAGGTGTTGCCTCAAGCTCCTGAAATAATCAGTACCAGGGAAGAAGTTGAAAACATCAATGGCACTTTACCAAATGATAGTAGCATTTCCAAGAATGCATTAGCATCTATGGAATGTAAGGATGGGGCACCAATGATTTGAAGTTCCAATGATAGAGTTACCATAAATGCTCAGGAAGGTTCTCATTTGCTTCCAGGGAAACATGATGTGAAAAATATAACAGATGGCTGTACTGCTACGAGTCAAAGGGATATATTGAGTTTGTCAAATCCAGTAAGTCTTTATTGCTACTTAATCCATTTGTATATGACCTATTTAGAATAATGGAACTATTAAGAGCAAATCAAGCCCCCCAAACGCCCACACCCCTCTACCTCAACCCACATGGGAAAAAGAAAGGAGAAAAGAAAAAAAGAATAACACACCTACAATTGGCGCAATGATGCAGCTGTGAGTCCCTATTATTCTCATAAACTTGTCCTCCCAAATTTTAGCAAACCAAGAGTGCTGTCATGGTGGCAAGAATGGCCTACATCATTCTTGAAAGGCCGAAACTGTACTTTCCCAATGGAAACCTTTGCTGCTGATTTCTTGTGCATACATAATTGCATATTCATCTTCATCTTTCCAAATTGCTCACTATTTCTAGTTCTGCACTTTTAATGGAAAATCGATTTTCTCTTTATTGTCATAATGAACTCTTCAAGTAAAAAAATGTTTCTCTTTTATTTTAGGCTGAAGAGACTATTCTGGTGCTAAAGAAGCCAAGTCAAGCTTTTGGGGCTTTGCTCGAGAATTCAGCTAAGAGGAAGTTTGATCCTGATAAGAAAGTGAGTCTTATGATGATGATATTAAAATGGGAAAATTACCTAGAAACCTACCTTTAAAGAATGAAGTCAAATTACTGATAAGAGAGTGAGTCTTATGATGATGATATTGAAATGAAGTCAAATTACTATTTAAGAATGTATTTTTCTGAAAGAATATGAGTCAAACAGAGCCTTAAGTTCAAAGATGTTATCTTTATTTGATGGATAATTGAAGTTGATTTATGATTTTAGTTTTAAGATAATCATGACTGCAAGTGTATAATAATACAAATCCCATTTTGGCTATGATAAATTTTGATTGTTAATTATAATCCTAATTTGATTAGGATAAATGCTACTTGTTAGTACTAATCCAATATTTTAGGGAAAAATTCACATTTGTATGTGAATAAAAATCAAATACTAAAAATACTGCAATGTAAAATTCAATACATTTTTTACCTAATTTGGGATATATTATATTCAAAATACTCACCCATTGAACTTCCATATTCAAAATTGCAACTAAAATTTTTATCACCATAATCACGGTTCAAACAGAAATTTTTGAGGAAATTTTGCCCATCACCGTTTTTCAAAAATATTTTCATGAAATACTGTGCAATTAAATTTTTCTTTTTTTTTCATTTTTTACTTCAAAAATATAGTATTATGGAAAACGTATGTATCACTTCACTCCTCTTGGGCATATCAATTTATGAGCTGATCAGATGCCATCAAACATGCCCTTCCCTATTTTTTTGTACTCAGATAATCAATTAGCATTGATTTTCCCACCAAATACGCCCCTCCCAAAGCATTTGGGGATGAATTTTCAGGATGATTTGAAGAGCTATGTGTTAATAAAAGGGCCCATCCCATTATGAGTTCACAAAATGATTAAATGAGGTGCTAGTTCATAGATAAATACAACATTGAGTTGAAAGAAGTTCAAGAAAGCCAGCTCATAAAGCTCTCTCAACCAACCAGAGAATAAGCACACGTGCCCCTAATAAGCATAATAGGAAAGGGTCAGTCATTGGTTAATTGCATGATCACCCTGTAAAGCATTTAAATGTATCAGAATTGACAAGCTAAAATTATGGTAAGAAGGGAAAAAATACTTCTATAGTGCGAACAAAATTGCTGTAAATTTTACCTCGGGCGATATCAAGTGGATTTTGGCAGTTATCATTCATCACTAATGTCTTTTTCTGAAATTTGAACCTGAATTTGACAAATGTCAATGGTAAACACAAGATACTATTTGCCATTGAAACATCATGACCTGAATTATGGAGAATACAACAAAAAAACAGAATTTGCATGCTAACATTCATTTTAATCCTTCGTTTTAGTTTCGTTATTTAACATATCAAAGTTATCTACCTCAAATGATTTGTTTCCAATAATAATTGGATCTTATAATAGAATGTAAGGGTAAACTAAAAAATAAAAAGGAAATTAAGAAAAATTTTAATTTAACATAATTTTTTTACTCTTTTTTTTTTGGATGGGGGAAAAAAAGAAGGAAGAAGCAGCATGTTGTTGTTTTTGTAAAAATTTCAAATCTCAAGATTTGGATTGTTACAGCATGTATCCAATTCAAATGTGAAAACAAGGGGCACAGTGAATGGCCTTATCCTCTCTTTTAAGAAAGTGGTGATACAGGTCTGTTAGGGTCGAAGTTTCTCATTCGTCCCATTGTTCAGGAAATTTTAGCAGAACTCCGACTATAATTTGGCTATCCAACCACCTAACACACCACACATACCACAAAATAACGACACAAATGATATGCAGAGACACAAACAACCACTTCAATAATCCACAATTACCCAAAATATAATTTTCCCAATAAAGAGTGGGTTTTCACGCATTTAAATATAATGCCAACAATAAAGAAGGGGTCATTCATGCGCTTACCTCAAGATTGCACAAAGAAAGAAGAGATTACTTGAGAGAGACATTTCTGATGTTCGTAACTTCCAAAAATGCGAACTTTTGTTGTTGATTTGTTGCGATATCAGACTTAGTGAATTAACCGTTTTCCGTTTCGAGCTCCTATTGGTGTGTCTATCATGTATTTTTTTGTCAGGAAATGGTGCATTCGAACTAGTCATTGCAATTGTGACTTCCATTGGCGACTTGAAGTCCCAACTATACATCGTAGAGCATAAAGCCCTTTTTGATACCTGTTGATGTTCAACCAAGAAAAGAATAAAGCAAACCCCTTCGACTGCTCATGGAGCATAAAACGCAAGGGGAGTAAAACCACGGAGGATTCGCAACCCTTTATGTGATGCTCCATAAGCTTCTCATAACGGTGTCTAGCACAAGAAACCAAGCTCTGTAAAGATGCCCATATGTGCGAATTCAAATCCCAAATCACTCTCCATAAGAGATATAAGCTCATTAAAGCATCCTCTGTTCTGTTAGTGTTCACTGACTTCTTCCAAATCAACCTAAGGATTTAGATTTACATGGTTAGCATATTCAGCGAATACTGAACTACCTAACGTAATAGAATGGTCATGCAAAAATAAGCAAATATAGACTAGCAATCCACTCCCTTTGCAGCTAAAGCTAAGAAACAAATTGATTAAGTTATTGATTTTGTATGAAAAAGTCATAAAATATCAACTAATACAGTCTGGGAATACAACTGTACAATGATATTGAGCCACATAATTGAGCCAAGTGGAAAAATAGACTTCTTTCCATGTCTTTTGAGTTATTAGAGATAAGAGCAAAAAACAATCTTAGCTGCCTCATATAGAGCTTCATCGTACAAGTGATCACCAACATTAAGGAGATTGGCAACACTTGGCATGAGAATAAACTCTTCAATCTCACCCAGCCTATCGATCTTAGCATATGCATAAACGAGCTCACTGTCCACCTTGGGCTCCTTTGCTTTGTACTTGACCATCAGAAGAAACTTCACCAAGTCGTGATAAACATTTGCGTCCTCCGGAACACGAATAACTTCCAAGAATTGGGTGGCATCATTAGCACGAGTAAATGACTCTCTATCGCATAGCTCACTAATCCTTCCCCGTGTTGAGCTTTAGCAAGCTGACTCCAAACTGCATCTTCTTCAACACAGAATGCAAACACAGGTTAATATCTTGAATATTATCTAGTAACATATTGACGGCCTGGATATTCAAATTGAGCTTTAAAATAGCAAAAGCCTCTTCATACAATTGAGCTTCCACAGCCACTTCCCCAACAGAAAGACATCAAACTTATCAAGTCTGCCTATTTAATCCATAACTCTGGATGGATCTGCGTTAATGGCTATCGAGATAAGTAAGTTTTGCGGGTCAAAGTTTCCACTGAATGAAGAGTTTTGGATCACAATCTTTTTGAGCAATTCAATTAGTTTATGAGGGAGGTCAGCAGACATGAAGGTTTTAACATCTGCAAATACTTGTTCCAGGCTCTTGCTTTCAGGCAAAGCACCAGCTACAACATGATCAATGAGCTGTCTTCCGAATTCATTTTCGGGGTCAAGAACTTTTGCCCATGGATCACCATCCATCTTTTCAACTACATACCTGAAATAACGTCACGCCATCCTCCTCCTTACGCTCAAGATCCTCCTCTTCCTTATAAATTGTTTCTCAAGAACTCCCAATTTTTGTCCGAGTTCATTTCTTTACCAAACGGGTTATTTCTCACGTAGTCTTGCATATTTTCAGCTTTGGCCAAAGAATTCAAATATTTTCTCAAATTGCCAGTAGGGCCTGTTATTTAACCGTATTTGAGATTAGATAAGTGCAATAATAAATAAATATAGACGAGTGCAATAATAAATAAATATGGAAACCATAGGTCTTCACAACATGTCAATTTAGTTTAGAGCATAGCTTACCTAAAGTTGAATCATTAGCATCGGTGTACGTTTATGTGGGAGGAAATATTGTTGTATTTGCCTCAACAATGAAATATTGGTACCAATGAAGATTAGGAGAGATATTGAGACTATAAGAATAGAGTATAGAACAAGTCATATTCCCCAAATGGAAGAAAACCAGGGATGAAGTTCAAAACTTACAGGATTTTTCACTGCCTTGTACGGAGAATCATCCATAAGCAAAGTGTTGCTTTCATTGTACTTTCCCGCTTCAGGGAATGCCCACACTTTGGATAACTCTTTAATAAAGAGTGGTTTCTTGTGATTCTCAAGTGCATTAAATCTGGTTCTAGTACAAGATTCTTGATCCTGAGTTAAATAGAACTAATCAGAGATCCACCTTGTATATTATAGGGACCATATTTATGATGATATCATATATAATATGAACAATAGAATTTTCAACATCCTAGCTATGTGGCCCTAAAGGGTTAAGAAATGCTTACCCAACAAAAAAGCAATTGCTTTTCATCTGGGAAAGGACTCTGGACAATTGGTTTCAAATTGTGTCTGGAAGATTTCAACAAGTCAGGTAAAGAAAATGTGTAATTGATTTAGAAACAAATGCTTAGAAAGAAATAGAGGATAAAATTGAATTAACAAAAAATGTATAATTAGTTAAATATTGAATATTACGATTTTCTAGAATACCAAACTCCTACAGCGAATTGTCCATGATGAAACTGATGAAGTCATCACAATATGGTCTTTTAAACACTGAAACTATCATGTAAAATCAAATTAACTTGACATATGAGATGAGGACCAAATTTAAACATCATAAATAGAAACAAGTATAGAAAGCATCTACTTTTACAAGCATTATCAAACTTCTGAAATCTGGCTTTTGATCAAGGTCTCGCCCATCTGCCGCATAAACGATATTCGCGAGAATTCCATTTACATTAAGAATAAGAAGCCTCTTATCCTTTCCAGTTAACTCCGTACTTTCATGGTGCAAACTAATAAAAAAAGTATTCAAAATAGTTCCAAAAGCAAAAAGCTGTTTTCGATTTAGAACACACTACCATTTACCCTTCTTCAGAATAAGGGGAGTAAATGGTTCTTGGACCTTACGTTTGCTCCCTTCGGGTAGAGGAATCAGATCACTATCTGTCGGAACATTGATAGGTATTGATCTACGGGGTCTGCCCCTATGATCTGCAGATACAAAATCATTATTGAACACATGTTCATCAAGTAATCATTTATAAATAAAAAAAATGAGGCACGAAACTCATGTACTTGATCACTAGGAGCAATAGTAGGTGATGTCTGTGGTCAACTTGATACTGGAGAGGTAGTGGGCGTAAAAGATCCCGCACTTGAGTAGTGCATGAGTGCATGCACATCTAAACGCCAAAGTACCTCTACAAACTGCTGTAGTATGTCGGCGTGTTTTTGTTAACTCTTTTCCCTATACAAGTCGGATTGCTGGGAGATGGTGGTACACTGCCCAGGCAACTCGGTAACCTGCCCTTACAACTCGGTAACCTGGCCTCGCAACTCAGTAACTTGCTCACGTAACTCAGTTACCTGCTCACGCAACTCGATGTTATGCCGCTGTAGAGGAGGGATGAGCACTAGGCTGGTCTCATCTACACGCACCATAGGCACTAGTGCCTCATGGTCGCCTTCTGGAGGGCACACTCTAGAGCCCAAATCACCAACCGCATCAATCACATCTGTTTGGTCAAAGACCGCAAGAATATGTGAGGGGACATCCCAATATTCGGGGATCGAAACCTCCTGCTGTAGTGTTGGATCTTCCTGGCGTGCATCCCGTTCATGCGGGGTGTCGGCCTGCTCGGGGACATCATCATAAACGTCTCAGGCCAAGTCGCGATCACCCTTCGCGACTTGGACATTAGCAACAGCGTGGTGCCCCACATCTTTTTTCTTCTGACGGTTACGAGGTGCCAATTCTGCTTGTCGAGGTCTGCGTAATAGCCTCTCTGTCGCTCATTCTCTTTGCCTGTAATAGAGGACAGGCAGCTATCTGAACAGAAACCAATAAAGACATATTAAAACTAAAAGACTTCACAAAATCACCAAAATTCAAAGATTTTAACTATGTGATGCTACTCGCCTGGGATGAAAACAGTTTTGCTTCCTTTGCATCCGCCATTTTTGGATAATTAAGGAAACCTGTAAACTCCCAATGGCATATATGAGGCAAATGAGCGGTGTCAGACCTCCGTCTAGTGAGCAACGCAATATCGGGCACAACCTCAAAGGCAAAAACCTACAAACCAAATTAAATTTGTGTCAACACTTAAATAAACTAAACTAATTTAACATTCATTTATTGGAAAACATTTGCTATTTTTACCAATAATGCATAGGAGAAGCCACCTAAATTGATGTGCTTGGTTTCCCTCTCGGGCAACGTATGCTTCCACCTATGCAGACAGTGCTTAAAGAGGTATGCCCCCCAAGAAAATGCGTTGAACCCGTCCATATTCCTATCCACAAAGTTTATCTCCCCTGTTGGCACCACCGTCCGTGCATCAGTCCCCCATAGAAAGTTGTGCTTCATTACGAGCATAGACAACTTTACAATGTCAATGCCCTCATCAAACTCACCCTCACTTAGACAACGGATGAGGTCCGGAACCCGAATCTGTTCATGGTCGGGAAAATGCCTATGAATTCAACCCACCCTCATGTGTCTTGTAATAACTAGTTGGTTTCTGAGTCCATCCAAACTTCAGGCCCGTGATGAGGCAAAACTCTTCCCTTGAGAGACGGACGTCCTACCTTCCTAACAGGAAATGCATCTCATCACGGCTGGCGTTCGGTCTCTCAATGTGCCTCTGCAATAATGAGTTCACGATCACTGAACAAAAATGCATTTCTTAGTGCATTAGTAGAAAGTGCCCCATGCAAGAACGCAAGAACACTTCACGCAACGCAAATCCATCTGGATGTCCTGCGAAGGCATTCTCGATGTCGCTAAGTGTGGCATCCGGGAATGATGCTTGAGCGTAATTGGTCTCCACTTGTCCTCCGGCAGAACCAAATATTGTTTAAGGTTGTTAGCCAACTACAAAGCAATGCAAACATCTTTAAAAATCTAAATAAATAAAAATAAAATAAAACTATAACCAGATCGTGAGACCCTTTAACATCAAACAACTTATTTTAACTAAGAAATTTCCCATAACGAATAATAAGAAAAATTAAACAAACAAATCACCGAGAACAAATAAAATTAATTATAAGTAAATTCTACATGTGAAGAAATTCCCAAAAAAAATCTCAATTAGAAACTAGCCCAGACTATCTTATTATAAAAATTTCACTGTAATAACATGTTTCTAACTCATTTTTAAACCCAAACATACAATCCTGACATCATTATAATAGAAATTCAACATCAATTTTCACAAAAAAATAATTAAATAAATAAATAAACCCAAAAAAAAGTTCAACTATCAACCCCATATTACAGCAAGTTTCAACTATAAAGAACAGTATTACCTAAATTGTCGAGTTTGTTATTTCTAACCTAATGGGGTTAGTGTGTTACCTACTAGAACAGTATTCATTGGAAAAATATAGCTGACCAAATTGGTGTCAGATAAACATGGAACACATGCCATGCGTTCAACGGCGGAGCCAGCCGAAGAGTTGTCTGGGGGCAAATTAAAAAAAATTATTTAATCGGGGGGGGAGGAAAAATATAAGGACTTTTTTGAAAGATTTCAAAAATTTAGAGGTAAAATTGAAAATTTTCAAATGTAGGTGGAAGCAGCAGACCCCACTGCCACCCCAACCCAACCCAACCCAACCCCCCTTCCAAAAAAAATAAAAAAATAAAAAAATTCGTCCATGCAAATGCGTCGATGCTAATTTATTTTTTTTCACACGCACGTACCCAATTTTGTCTGTACGTGATCCATGCAGTTGTGGGTAACATGAACAGAACCATACTATATATTGTGGTCAACGTGAAAATTTCTCACCCGAGTTCCATCCCGTTTTAGTGTGTGTGTGAGTGTGTCATATATATATATATATATAGCATTCTCCTTTATTTTCCTCTCAAAACTATAGTTTTCTGTAAACATGGAAATTTTTTCATACAGTTGGTTAGTACACCATAATCCTTCTTTTGATTTCTTTCTCAATTCCCTCAAAACACTCAGGTCCGGCCTTGAACGTTCAACCCTCAAACTGAAATGGATGAAATTTACCTTAACTACACTTTAAACCAAGGAAGCGAGTTCCAAGAAAGGTTCTAGTGTTCTCCTGCGGATTCAATCGATTTGAATTCGGGTTTGGGTTTAGGGTTAGAGATTGTGTTGTGGGGGGGGGGGTTTGGGTTTAGCCGTTTAGGGTTAGAGATTGTGTTGTGGGGGGGGGGGTTTGGGTTTAGCCGTTTAGGGTTAGAGATTTGGGTTGCAATTTGTTCTTCACTGATTGGTTTACCCACAGGTGAGTGCAAATAAAAGATTAGTTTACCTAGGCCTGCTTGGGAGTTTTTATTTCACCGATTTTGGATAGTACCGTCTATGAAGGGTTAGAAGAATCGATGCCTGGTAGTTTTTTCTCGGCATCGGTTTTGGAAGGTTTAAAAAAGCCCAATCAATTAGTGTGCGGCGGGCGACGGTGGTGGCGATAAAAATTGTGACTTTGATTGTGACTCACAATTGGATACGTGACCTGGAAATTGAGAACGTGACTCACAATTGATTAAGTTGTGACCAGAAAATTTATCGTCACAAATTAATCCAATAATTTGCAATGAGTAAATGAGTTGTGACCAATAAAAGTTTTGAATCTGTGACCTATAAAATTTTTTATTTGTGATTTAGAATAAGTTGTGATCAATAATTTGATAAGTTATGACTAAAAATTAATCCGTGACTAATTAATTAGATATCTGTGACAAAAAAATGTGACATAAATATATTTAATTAATAAAATATATATTTAAAAAATTAATTTATAAATAAAATTTTAAAAATCTGATTTTTGAAACTTTAAACCTTTGGTCTTAATTTTGAAAAAGGGTATACTTACCCTCTTAGAAATGAATTTTTTCTTTAGAAGTATCGATGCTTGGTAGTTTTTCTGGGCACCAGTTTTGGATGGTTTAAAAAAGCCCAAAACCGGTGTAGTGTATTTTTTAGCGGTTCTTCGAACCCATCAAATCGGTGCGCTTTGGTCATTTCTCTTGTTCTTTTCTTATTTTACCCTTTTATAAAATAATTATTTCCAACAAATATATTTTGTTCAAAACTAAATTATAAATTAAAATATATTAAATAAAAAATATTTATAATTTAAATATTTGAATGGTCATTGAAATGTACCAAACATTACTACTTAATAAATTTGGATAAAAATGGATGAAACGTGCAATTAAAAAGTTGTAGATCTCATAAAGTATATAGTTAAAATCAATTATTTAATTTGACTTAAATTAAAGTCTAAATTTTAGCCACTAACAAATACGGTAGTTTAGTAGAAAACCGGTAAGGACGAATGCTGCAAGTCCAAATACAGTACGTGTAATTACGATGCATACTGCAATTACAAATGGCTAGGACTAAATTGAAGTTTGAAGATGTCGAATTGACTTTTGCTTTTTCTCTTAAAATGGGGAAAATAAAACATTATTATTTGAAGACTGTCATAAAACAAAGGGTTAATTATTTGAATGGTCATCGAAATGTATCGAGTATTACTACTTAATAAATTTTGATAAAAATTGATAAAATGTGTACTTAAAAAGTTGTAGATCTCATAAGTATATGGTTAAAATCAATTATTTAATTTGATTTAAATTAAAATCTAAATTTAAGCCACTAACAAATACGGTAGTTTAGTGGAAAATCGGTAAGGACAAATACATTACGTCCAAATACTGTAAGTGTAATTATAGTGTATACTGCAAATACCAATGGCTAGGACTGAATCGGAGTTTAAAGAGGTCGAATTGACTTTTGCTTGGTCTCTTAAAATTGGGAAAATAAAACATTTTATGTCAACAATTCATTAACCAAAATCTTTCATTCAAATTAAGAACTATCAAACTAGACTTGGACAAAAGGTCCACAAAAGGTCATTTAAAGGCTAAATAGCATGAAACATCCATACCTTTCAATGTCATTGTGCAAAACATATTTGTCTTTGTTTGTAGTGGGTGGTGGTTTTGTTGTGTTTGAGCAGCGATTGGTATGCCCTACGATTTGGTGTTTGGGTGGGTGGTGTTGGATCTTGTTGGTGGCGGTGGCTGTGATTTTGTTGGCGATTATCGTGGTGAGGTGGTAGTTTTGAAGTTGAAAATTGTAGTTTGTTAGAGATGCGCGACAGTGATGGTGATGGTGGAGCTAATGGTGGTGGTGTTGTAGAACTGCTTTCGGCTGGTGCCATGGCGGATTGGAGTTGGGTGGGGTAGGTGGTGGGATTAAAAGTGCTTGCAACCAATTGTTTGAGATTATGGCCAATAAATTAGATTTTTTTGACAAAAAATAACATTTGACTGATAAATTGTGACAGGTAAATTTTACGTGACCTAAAATTTTGAATTGTGACTTATAAAATTTATGATTTGTGACCGATAAATAAATTGTGATCTACAAAATTTTTTATTGTGACCGATCAATAAATTGTGACCTATAAATTTCTTGATACGTAACTTTAAAATAATTTGTGACTAATAAATTTTTTGGCTTGTGACCGAAAAAATTTGCTACCAATTAAACGAATCAACCCAACACAGTTTGGACCCAAATCAAAACCAAATATTAAAACTTATCGGACCTAACATCTAGCCCCGAACCCATCTATAATCTATAATATATAAAATATCACATAAATTGAGAATAATTTTTTGGACCATTTTAACCCTACCAAAATTAAAGTATTTCAATAATACGTTTTTCGTTTTACAATATGTAATAAATACTATAAATTTTTTGTCATAAATGAATTTTGTATTATTAATTCTCAATTAATTAGCGTTCAAATTAATCTAGACTCAATAAATTTTGATTTGATGAATCTTGATCAACATAAAGCTAGAGTTATTAGAGATGACTTTATTTCTATTACAAAAGGAAAACAATGCATTTCACAACCTGGAATACAATAATTTGCCTGGAATACAATAATTTCATCGGGTTTACTTTTTCCTGAACAAACATAGAAATGAAGCAAAAATCTCCCTGCAGTTGAAATGATGACTCAATTAGTTACCTGTACTCAAGCGTATAGATACAGAACTAATACTATAAAACATGGCCACTGTAACGGGCTTTTCTTTAATTATGCCAACTGAAGACGATAAACTCATCTAATTATGCCCTCATCCTCAGTGTCTGATTCACGCTTATACGGAGAATCAATCATTTCCATCTTAGGGTACTAGGTGCGTACACATGCTGGGTAACGAGATATTGAAGGCCATTGCCTCGAGCTGACAAACAGAAGTTGATTGCAAGAGCATAAAGAATCAACCAAACAAGATTGGTAGCATTTTACAGCAACAATGGATGGGATTTCAGAGTTCAGACTTAACAGGGGAGCCATCAGCGACGTAACAAATACATACAAAGTATTATGGTTGGAACCTTGGATACCATTGGGATAGATGGAGTTTGTTCAATGGCTAAAAGAGAATTTAAGCTACCTAGCTGGGGTAATAAGAAAATGCAAGGGACAAAATATATAAATCCACACTTTGGAAACTATTAAGGCAAAATCTGATAATATTACCCTGGGCAGGAGAAACAATACAAGGACTAACTTCAGAAACTCATATTCACGATTTTTTTTTTCCACAAATAAAGTTCTTTTCCGAACTCTTACACTTATCCTAAAGATAAATTCAGTCAATATCATTTGGTTCTTAAATCCGATTTCAGTCCTTCTCTTTAATTCATTTAAATTAATGAATTCTACTATCACCCACTACAATAAAACGAACCAACAGAAAATGCGAGGAAACATGAAATATTTTTGTACTTCACTCTATAATTATTATTAACATCAATGAGGAAAAAGATACTTGATGGGTATGCTAAGCAAGCTCTTAACGAAGAAGCCAGATCATCTACTTTCAAAATTTTAGCAAGTCCAAAAATCCCCTACTATAAAATGAGAAGCGAGGAAGAATATTATTAGTAGCCTAGTTTTAAAGTCAACAAGAGACATAAATTTCGAACTCACCCAGACGAAAATCTTGATCTTTAGTAAGAAGGATGATGGAGCACTGCCGAGAAGATGTTACGGACATCAGCTCAGAAAATCATTTAAGATACAAGAGAAACTATAGGGAACACATTTAACGAACAATGAACCATACTTTTAGTTTTAGGTCCCGGTGGAGAACGGAATTGGAATGTAGCTATTCAACTGCCAACAATAGCTGGGTGAACCATTCAAGAGTTTCTGCACAATGCAAGTATTAAACAGTCGCATTAACTACCCAAAGCGGATTTGAGTTCTGTGATAAGTCATTACAGCTGGTGAAGTATGTCCTATTTTCTAGAACGGAATTATTTTTATCAAAAAAAACTATTTAGCAAAAACGTATGTAATTTTAGTGGAAAACATTCATACCTCCTCTGGAAAGCACTGGCCTTTTAATTTTTCATCAGTTCCACCTTGTTAAAGGTCGATCATCCATAGCTCGTAAAATCTTGTAAAAGAAGACCCAAACAAAATAACTACATTATGGAGCACTTTCTTGTTAAAAATTTTATGATATGAAACTTACTTGTCACCACCCTCACAGCAGCCGGTAAAAATGCAAACATATCAACCCTACATTAGTATTAGATACTAAGAATTCAGTTTTAAAAAAAAATGCAATTTTCCTTCAAATTCATTGTTTACAGAATCAAAAGAAACCATCAAATTGTCATGGAATAGAAAAGCCTCAATGACTATTATCTTATCAACCCATGCTTCCTTGAATTCAACAATATAAGGGTGCTGTATCCATGCAATTGACGTATCTACACATGCAAATTTCAAACTTGTACAATCACTAACCTTTTCTATCTTAGTGTTAGTACAGGCTGAAAAAGAAAATGCATCTTATGCACACAAGCAGAACACATAAAATTGGGAGTAAATCCCTCAAGACCTTAAAGAAATGGAAACCACTAACTGAGAAGTTACATTCAGACCATTACCCTAGAAAATTTCGATAGTAAATTACATAATAATCACCAAATAAACATTCATAAATTCAATAATCATCAAAAGCAAAGCAGCATCAATTGAAATCGTGAATAATATCAATGTAACTCTTGATGATCCAATCTCCTTCAACATCAGTTTGTCAGGCTAATCGAATCTTCTGAAGAGCATACCTACATTTTTATTCCAAGATTAAATGAGTAAAATGGAAAAATCAAGCATTTGAATTCATTAAACCTTCACTGCCGTATTTATAGAAATGAATATTAACCAAATCTTACCTTTTTTTCTCTCCAACTTGTTCTTTACCAAAATGGCTGCGGCAAAAGCTCCACGCCCTATCTGCTTCATGATCTCATATTGATCCATTCGGGATTCCATCATTTCCCAATTTTCAACCCTAAAATGCCCTTTCAAAAACTGCAAATATGATAGCAAAACCCCAGAAAATTCAATCTTTGGATCATCTGCAACTTTTTCTACTTATTTGCATATCCTCCCACAGCACATGAAAAGTGGCACTAAATTGCTGGAAATGAAAAGGGCATCAGATTATCAATTCTGGGCATCAAGAAATGAAAATTCTTTCATGGGTTCAATCAAATGACTTTATGTATGGCTTATTTTTTCTCCAAAAGTTGTGACTAATATGTATAAAGTTGAAATAATCTGAGGTGTCTCTTTTCCAAAATTAGGTCAAATGTACAAAAATTGTGATCTATGAATACATTAGACCAATTTTACATCTGTGTTAACTATACTTATGACCTCAGTTACATATAACACTATTTGATGTGATGTTCTTGTCTTTGTGGTTCTTTTCACTTGAAAGTTGTGATGAATATGTGGAGAACTATCCTTATGACTTCCTTTCTCTCGAAATGTGAGATATAAAGATTTTATTTAAATCTTGGAATATTAGAGAAAATATGGTAAAGAGAGAGAGTTTCTTTCTACATCTGTAAAGAAGTGAAGATATATGAAATTAGTGAAATTAAATGTTCAATATCAAACTTAAAATAGTAATTCCTAAATAGGGATTTGTGAAAATGGAAAATTAAATATTAAAAAAGTCTTTAAATTATTTTTTATAATGATACCTGATTTGTGGATTAAAAAAAGCTATCATCTTATTTTTAGCCCCCGTTTGTTTCTCATTTTTGAAAGAATGAGAATGAAAAATATAACCGTTACGGGCCCACACAAAAAATAGAAATTCAAACTTAGTGGCTTGATGTGATGGATAACGGTCATATTTTTCATTTTAATGAGAAAAGAATGGGAACCAAACGGGATCTTAATAAGATAACTTTAAAAGCATAGTTTTCTCTAATTTCCTCTTTGGAAGAAAAAAAAACTGTAACTACTCTTGAATAGATTATGTTCACGAAAAATATCAAAACCTGAGCAAGTTTCATAAATCAAGTCACATTTCACTAATTTAAAAAAAAAAAAATCGATATTAATTGATTTATGTGTAAGATCACGAATTTTAACAAGACGTTTATGCACCTTTTACCAATTTCATTACATTTCTTCCATCACCACATTGCATGTGTTAACTGTAATCTTCAAATCACGAATTTTAACAAGACGTTTATGCACCTTTTACCAATTTCATTACATTTCTTCCATCACCACATTGCATGTGTTAACTGTAATCTTCAAAAGATTCTATGCGAGTCCCAGACCCTAGTGCAATGGACCAGGACATAAGATAGGTGAATATGTGTTTGCCCCCCCCCCCCACCCCACCCCCCCTTTCCCTTATCATCACCACCATCTTTCCCCTTACCACCACCGCTGCCACCTTCCTTTCTGGGAGGAAGAATTTCAACCTATTTCTAAAAAATTTTCTTCAGAGACTCAGCCAGAGCTTTCATATCCATTGCTCCAGTCACTGTAACCAAATACTTGTGTCTGTCTATTAGCATATCTTCATACCCCTGTAACGCCATCAATGTCTTCTTTGGGCTCAATTTCAGTAATATATACATTACATGGTAGCTATTCACCCTTTGTTTTGGTCACAATATGTGGATTTTTTGTATGCATCCCTAGCAGTGTAACCCCACTTTTCAAATAATTGATGCATAGAAATATAGAAATTAACATTACCTCCTTGTTCTTGCATTTTTTGTCTTCACCTTTTATCTTTGTATTTTTGTCTTCTTTTCCATTTTCTTTTGCCCTTCGCATTCTCTTTTGTTGCCGTTCCATTTTGGCTGCTCTCGTAAAATCAGTTCCACTTTTTTGTTGGTTTTCTCCTACATTTTCTCCCGGAGGTTCTTCAGATCAAATTTTTCGGTAACTGTAATCTTCTAAGATTCATCGATTGTCAAAGCCTTCACACCATTTTCACATACAAAAACCTACAAACATTATTCACGGGAAAAAATAAAGTAACAATCGGAAAATACAAAGCCAAATAAAAACATAACGAAAATGAGAAACAAATTAAAACCCAGTAAATAAAAGTAGAAAACGTTTCATAGAATTTTAGATACAAATAAAACCCAGAATATAAAAGAATACCATGATAAAATAGAGAAAACAGGGATGAACACAGAAATTATTGGGAAAAATTTATGAAAAAAGTGAGAAGAAAATGTTGTATCTGTACCGTCAGAGAGCCAATGCATTTTAGGAATTTGGAAGCACAACCATCACCGTGCAAATGAGCCTTCAAAACCGCAGTAATATTACCATTTCCTCCTAACAGGTACAGAACCAACAACATACCTCAGCTTAGATCGACGTAAACGGAGACAAACCCAGCTAGATTTTCATCTATAGACAGAAAGAGGAACATGCCTTAAATAAATCTCAAGAAAATCACAAAAAACCACTCAAAAAAATTTCAGATTAACGTACCTTCAGATAATCGATACAAATTGTGAGGTTTTCTTCCCTACAATCCACAGAAAAACTGGAATTAGCTATAAGGCACAAGCAAAACTGTAGACAATTTTTTGGGGGTTTCTGTTGTTGTTAATCCAACCTGCAACCACACAAACAATGGTTAATGAAGGATTAAATCAAAATAAATCTAATGGAAGTCAAGGAACCAAAAAAAAAAAGCAGTGAACTGAAATTTAATGGAAGAAAATGAAACGAAATCCCCCTTTTTAATTCGGCTCAGAAATCTTCAACCCAACACCACAAAGGTAACTTCAATTGGGAGACTTTTTCATTCACGAAGAAGAAAAGGCACACAAAGGCACACCACAAAGGTCGATTTGGGTTTTCACAGAGAAGGAAGAAAGGTTCTCACGCTTGGAAGAAGAAGGCAGCCGGCTTCTCTATTTAATTCAAATTGGTTGAGTGTTTGGATATATTAAAACTCTTGTATATTATCACGAGGGAAATCAAATCTCCAAAATAACAAGGAAGTTTAAATTTGAGTCCAACAGAAACAGTAGGGATAGGATAATTATCACAAGATAATTATTTGCAACCAATTCTATCTTTTGTGATTTCATTTATCTCCATAGTCGGGTATTGAGCATCTAGCCCAATGGGCTGATTTCCTCCAAATACCCAATACAATTGGGTTACATCAATTGTGGTGTGGGTCCAATATGTTCTTCAATATTAGGCTTATAGCCTATGAAGTTAAACGGGCCTCGATTTTCATCATTGCCTAGGGGATTTGGGTATCACTTACCAAAAAAATACCCAACACCTTCCACTTATAATTCTTCTTCTCCACCTTAGATATCATGTGGATTACATTTTTCCTGATCAAAAGAAAGATATAATATTAATATACTACCTCCATCCCCCCCCCCCCCCCCCTTTTCCACCCTT